TCTTAAAAGAAATGCTATATTTAAATTTAATTTAGTTTTAATTTAATTTATGAAATTCTGAAAAGGGCCAATGGTGTTTTCAATTTTTGTACATTGAAAGAATCTGTTATACCTATTTTTGGGAAAAGTTGGGCGAAGATTGGCCCTTAATAGAAAGAGTGACGTTAAAGGATAATAAAGGAGGCAGAGATCCAGTCAGCTATGTAACGCTTTTTGACGAAGTGATTGAGCTTTTCTTTATGTGCGGTGGGAAGTTAACTCTCATTTGGCTTTGGCTGCTTAGACATATGAGCTCGGCTTGTTCTTGTTTTCTTTCCTTCCAATAAGAATGAGAAGATCTAAAACACGAGTGACAACTATATTTTGAGAAGGTCGTTTGACATATTAAAAAGTAAAAATAGCACGGTTTAGTCATTTTTCGGATTGGTAATAAAAAAATAGCCAACATTTGTAAAGTTATTGAAAAATAGTCATTATTTTGTTGAAATGCGAAAAATTCCATCATAATATGCGAGATTATGGAGCTCCTACGATAAACTTTGTAACGACCCGACTGGTCGTTTTGCTTTCTAGAACCCCGTTTTCCTAAATAAGACTTCCCGTACTTGCTTTTACTAATTTATTACTTGCGGGGATGGTTGGTTCGGGATTTGGAAGAGTTTGGGTTGAAATCGGAACACTTGGTTCCTTAAGGTTGGCTTAAAAGGTCAAGTTTGACTTCAGTCAACATTTTGAGTAAACGACCTCGGAATCCAGATTTGAAGGTTCCAACAGGTTCGTATGATGATTTCGGACTTGGGCGTATGTCCGGATCGGGTTTTGGATGACCCGGGAGCGTTTAGGCGCCTAATAGTGAAAGTTGATTCCTTAAGGATTTTGAAGTTCTTAAATATTTGGTTGGAGTGGGTTTTTGTGTTATCGAGGTCCGAATGAAATCCCGAGATCGGGAACAGTTCCGTATTGTCATTTATGACTTGCACGCAAAATTTGGTGTCAATCCGAATAGTATAAGTGTGTTTCGTTGCATTGGATGTGAATCAAAGAACTTGAAGTTCATAAGTTTGATCAATTGGTTTTAGGGGGTGATTCTTAGATTTAGTGTTGCCTCGGGCGTTCCGAGGGTTCGACCGTTTTATGATTTCAAACTTGTCGGTATGTTCGGGCGGGACCCCGGGGGCCCCGAGCGTCAATTGGACGAGGCTCGAGTTGAGTTAGAAAAATTGGAAAGAGCTGAAGCTCCTGGTTGCTGTCATAACCGCACCTGCGGTCGGCCAGCTGCAGGTGCGAGACCGGAGAAGCAGTCAACCCTTCGTAGGTGCGGCCCCAGGGGAGGAGCCCAGGAACCGTAGATGCGGCTCCTTTTTCGCAGAAGCGGCCCCAGACCGCAGATGCGGCCCCCAGCCAGCCCAAGCAAAGTCCAAAGATGCGGACACTTCCTCGCAGAAGCGAGACCGCAGATGCGGTCCCCTAACCGCAGGTGCGAAAATTGCAGAAGGCATTGCCTTCATTTAATACAGGAGATGTGTCATTTTTGACACATTTCATTCAATTGTTGGGCAGTTTGGGGGCTTCCAAAGAGGGGATTTCGGCCAAGCATTGTGAGGTAAGTTATTTCTACTTAATGTGAGTTTGATATTTGGTTTTTGGGTAGATTAACACACCAAGATTAGTGAAAATTATGGGATTGGAGTAAAACCTAGGGTTTTGATAAAAACAAGATTTAACAACGAAATTTGTTATGAAATGGAGTAAAAATCATATATTCTTGATCTTTAGGTTACGGGTAGCAACTTTCTTAAAAAAAATTCGGAATCCGGGCACGTGGGCCCGGGGATGAATTTTAGCAATCTTGCCTTTGGGGTTGGGTAGTCACTTTAATAGCTAGAATATGAACTTGTAAGCCTATAATGATGGATTTTTACATTATTTGAATAGTTTCGGATTGTGCGGCTCCGATTTTAGGGTTTGAGAGCATTCTTGAGTTGGAAGTAGGCCTGAAACGAGATAAGTCTCCTTTCTAACCTTGTAAGAGGGAAATTTCCTCATAGGTGAACTTAACTAGTATGTGATATAATTGTGGGGGCTACGTACGCACGAAGTGACAAGAGTCCGTACGTAGCTACTATTTCTGATAAGTCCTGATAGTTCTAGACTTACACCATGCTTTGTGGGTACTTTTATATGATTTTAAATTGTTGAATTGCATTGGCTGAAACTTCGTTGAGAATGTCATGATTTCAAGGATTTCAAGTAAATAATTAATTTGAAAAGAATCAAGGAAGCCCTTAAGTTGTATTTATAATTAACCGCGTCGCATGTATATTCCGCGAGCGGGGTGATTATTTTTACTACTCTCATGGGAGCGGGCCGTTCGCCTCGGCAGGATAGTAAAAGTATATATGGTTCGGGCCGTTCGACCCTCGGCGGTGCACAGTTTACTTTTATATTGGATCGGGCCGAACGCCTTCGGTGGTATTTGTGTGTGATAATAGAACCGGAACCCTTATAATTCGTATGCTTCATTGCTTGAAAGATCACTTATTTTAAATGAGGAAAGTTCCTAGTTGTATTAAGTGGATGAAAGGATTTTCAATAATTATTCTTGTTTGAGCTCGTTGTTATTTACATACCTTGTGAATTAAATATAGTGAACTTCATATTATTATATTGTTGGCCCTAGTAAGTGTCGGAGTCGATCCCTCGTCACTACTTCTGCGAGGCTAGGCGAGATACTTACTCGGTACATATTTCTATGTACTTATGCTACATTTCTGTACTTGATTGTATAGGCTCTGAGGCAGGTGCATCTGGCCATCAGTCCGGCGCATAGAGTGGACTCCTCAGCTCGAGACTTTCCGGTGAGCTGCCATTTTGAGCAGATCTGTAGCAGCTGGAGTCTCTCTTTTGTCTTTATGTTCCTGTCTATCTCTTTTTCAGATAGTAGGATAGCATGGTTTTGTATATTCCACTAGATTGCCCACACACTTGTGACACCAGGTCTTGCACACACATTAGTAGGATTATGATGTTTTGGCTTGTCTTCATAATTGAGATTTGTATTTATTTCCTTCATTTAAATATGCGTAAGTTTTTAAAACTATAAATTTCTTAAATCTATAATGGGAGTTATCATGTACTAACTACATAAATGAGAATTTACTATTTGATTAGTGTTGGCTTGCCTAACAACGGTGTTGGCGCCCTCACAGCCTAATAGGGAATTTGGGTCGTGACACTTTCTTTCCAACCCATTTAACACCAAGAGAAATGCTTTCTCAATATAAGCACATTCACTTTTCTTTCTACCACCAATGAGGGACACTTTGCTCTTTCCCAAGCAAAAGGAAGCTCACTTTCCCTCTATTTTCCATTCACCAATCTTTAATCCTAACCGTTACGAGGAAACTGCATGTATTTTCAATAGTCAACACTAGGGTGTACATGGACCGGGTTGGTTCCGTTTTGATAAAAACCGAACCAAACCAACTATATCGGTTTGGATTTGTTCGGTTCTTTCGGGCTTTTCGGGTTCTTTTATAATATGAATATTATTTAAATCTTACCTTGCTAAATTTTTGACAAGTAAATATGTGTTTAACAAAAATTGAAAAAATTGATAAACATATGATCTATTAAAATATTCTTATGGAAGAATTTTCTTAGTAACACATGATAGTTATTTTTCAGTCGTCTGACAATAATTTTATGTTGATGTACACTTTCAAGGTTAACCGAATTTAATAATTAAACATAAAATAAACATGAACCTATATAATGATATGTTCTATTAAATTTTAAATTGTCGAAATACTATTTCAAATTCGAAAATGATATAAAAATTTAATAGACATATGAATATGGAAGAACAAAGAGATTGACGTATTTCACAAACACTTGATAAGAAAGTGATCATACAACCCGTTATTTAAAGTTAATAAATATGTACCACTTCATATTTAATTAAATATTACATCTCATAAGAGAATCCAAATCTTCTAAAGAAAATTCTGTAAAATGTCTTTAAAATATATATATATATATATATATATATATATCGGTTTGGTTCGGATTTCTTTACTCAATACCAAACCAAATCAAACCAAACCTACTCGGGTTTTTTAATCGGTTTGGTTTGATCGATTTAGTACGATTTTCCGGTTCGATTTGTACACCGTTAGTCAACACATTATAGACTTTCAAACACAAGCTATTGCTATTTTTCTCATCACCTTCTTTTTGAGGGGGAAGTGCACGGTTAGCCACTAATAACACATGTATTTACTTTTAAGCCACAGTTTAAAATGTCTTTAGTCTTTAGCCACTGCTTTAATAAACCTTAACTGTCCGGACGAAAATACCCTTCTGCTCATGTCCTTAACTTTTGAACTTAACTTCAGGACTATATGTCCTTAACTTTTGACTTGGAACTCTAAGTTCAGGACTTCAGGACTACATATCCTTAATTTTTGAACGTGGAACTCTAAGTTCAGGACTTCAGGACTACATGTCCTTAACTTTTGAACTTAACTTCAGGACTTCAGTACTACATGTCCTTAACTTTGAACTTGTAACTCTAAGTTTAGGACTTCAGGACTACATATCCTTAACTTTTGAACTTGGAACTCAAACTTCAGGACCAAGCGTCGTTAACTTTTGAAGTTGTTAGTCTAAGTTCAGGATCAAATGTCCTTAAATTTTGAAATTGTAAGTCTAAGTTCAGGACCAAGTGTCCTTAACTTTTGAACTTGGATTTCAAAGTTAAGAACCAAGTGTCCTTAACTATTGAACTTGGAACTCAAAGTTAAGGACCAAGTATCCTTAAATTTTGAACTTGGAACTCAAAAGTATTCTTAGAACTTATGATTTAAATACATTTTGACATTTCTATGATTATAAAGAGCATGTTAAAATAATTTCAAATATAATAAAGCTAAAAGAACGTCATATAAAATAAAAAACAGGCAGTACGCTATTAGAAAAACAAAAATTGGAGATTCAAATACCCAAAATAATTGATGCATTTCAAGTCAGCAGTCAATGTTTTCAGTTTTTATAAATTCGATTTTGAATTTTGCGACTCATTTGATTTCTGTATAGTGGTACAAAGTTTTCTGTCTCCTTGTATAAACTATAGAACAAAAAAGAAAAAAAATATTTTCCATCACAAACTCATGCTCTTATACATTATTCCCATCTTTCTCGCTTGTATTCTCTATTAATGAGGAGCTCAATTCTTATCGCATGGCATTTTGGTGGAGGCTTCAAATATAAAAGGTCCAACACTATATAAATCAGACATGGGTGGTTGGACAGGGACAACGGCAGGGGTAATCGGTTGTTTAGGTGGTAGGAGAGGCTTCAATAAAGCACCAGATTTTCCACCATTGAAATTTGTTAGGAACATTGCAATTCGATTTGGTGATTTCACTAAATACACCTTGCACTTGCTAACATCTGCTGTGGTTAAAGATTTGGGTATGATCCGAAACTCACCTTTGTTGTCTGTCGTGGCCGATTGAACCATTGCTTTTTTTCCGTAGCAAACTAGTTTCACAACAGCTCCTGCAAGAGCAACCATTGAATTATGTAAGCTCAATCGGTCAATCCCAAGAGAAAAATTGATATAAGAAGGAAGGCAATGATATACTATATTTTATTTTATTTAAGTTTTATGCACGTCAGATATAAACCTATTTCCTTTTTAGTTCTTCTCTAAAAGAATGACCCATTTTCGTATTTGGAAACAATTTCTCATTATGCAATGATTTATAGCCACACAAAATATATGTGTCTCATTTTGTACCACAAATTCAAAAGTCTTCTCTTTTTTCTTAAACTCCGGGTCCAATCAAACAAGTTCCAATAAATTAAAAAGGAGGGAGTATAAGCTTTTAAGATAAGTGATAATTAGTAACCAGGTAAAAATTTATAGGCTAAAACTATACTGATTGTGGCGAATGTGACATTCACTCAATGGGTTCAGGAGCGTAGCAACTTTGTCACGAAACATAGCATTATGCTCCCCATATATATATA